AGGTTTACATTTACATTTACATACAGGTTTTAATATATTAACAGGTCTCTAGGTTTACATTTACATTTACATACAGGTTTTAATATCTTATCTAGTCTTCAGGTTTACATTTACATTTACATACAGGTTTTAATATATTAACTAGTCTCCAGGTATACATTTACATTTACTTACAGGTTTTAATATCTTATCTAGTCTCCAGATATACTTTTACATACAGGTTTTACAATCTGAACTAGTCTCCAGTTATACATTTACTTACAGATATTATATCTTAACTACTCCAGGTTAGATGTTAAGGGGTTACTCTGTTTTTGTGTTGTACCATTCCAGTAACTAAATATTTTGTTCAGGGAATATAATCTAATAGGAGTCCTCATGGGTTTAGCAGTCTACAATTCTATAATCCTTGATCTTCATTTCCCAGGGATCTGTTATAGAAAACTTCTCACACCACCAGTAGTTCCACCGGAGGTATCTATAAGGATAAACAAACCCTTATATCATTTCCTATATCATGCAACTTGATTGTGTGAAGCTAAGATTTTTAATAGAAAAATTCCGAGTTTGAAATCCTTAAGGTTTATGAAATGCAGCAGCTGGAAAAGATATAAGGATTAAAAAGTTTTTGTCCATTGTTTAGTTCCTTTATATCTCTCTCTATATATTTATATATGCATTGAGAACGATAAATCTGTTGAATAGGAAGACGACCTCAAACAATATTCAAGTATATTTGATGTTATTACATCACAAAAAGTTTACTATTGTAGCTTTAAAATCACTAAATAAGTGAAATGGTTTGTGTACACCGCACACTTCCCAGTTATGTGTCACATGTTCATTTAAAATTATAACTTGTGGCTAAAAGTCGTCTTCCTATTTCACAGTTTTCTGTGTAGATACATTTTTTAAACGTCAGCATTTCCAAAAAGTGACGAGGGACCGAATTTAATTAATTTGAACTGGTACTGGAATCACTGGAGGATTAAAGGAATTGAATCTTTGCCACAATTTCAAATTTTCTAATCCCTATATCTATGGAACCTGATGTTTTAGACTTTTGATATTTCAAACTAAGAAAATTTGATGCAACAGATTTCATAGTTTGAAATATCTAAGGTCTACGACATTTGGTTGCAGAGATATAGGAATTAGAAAATCAGAGTTTGTGACAAAGACTCAATTCCTTTGAAATACTGATTCAAATTCTTTCTTAATCTTCAATTTTGAATCGGTGGTTCAAATTTGAACCGGCAGTAGGTAGTTCAGTGACGTAGCTCAAATTCATAAAAATCGGTTCAAGGTTTATTATGTCTATTTATTATCAATTTATACATGTAAAGAGATATAAAATGGTTTAAACTTTGCTGAAGACCTTCTAAAAGCAGTTTATTTAGCAGGTTTTTAAACAGATATATCTTGGTCTTTAAATATATTATATATATTATTTTCTGTTGTTTTACAATTCTTCATTTTACATTAGATTCTACCAGTAATAACATATAATCTTCCTAATCCAACCCTTCCAGCCTACTGTACAGCAAATACTTTTTCATCCTTTATCTACAAATATTCTTATTATTTTGATCAAAAAGAAAATGAATACAGACTATTTTCTTGATTATTTTTTGTGAGTAGTTATTATTATCATGTCTAGGCTTATATTTATCTATCAGCCATGGTACAAGAGTAATAGTATCCTACCTAGCTTGGGATACTATTCTATATAAGATGTGGAAGAGTTTAACATAAGTTGATTGGATTGTACCTCTATAGCTCAGGATACAATTCTATATATATAGCTGAAGAGTATACCAGGAGACTGTACTCTATCTTCCTCGGGATAAATATAATATGTAATAAATATGTAGTGTCTTCTACTGATACTGCAATCATGCTATAATTTATATCAACTTCTCATTAAACAAATATTTGACGCAGAATATGGAATGTTTGTTTATCATACGCATTCTAGGTAAATATACGCATTCTAGGATAACATACGTATTCTAGGTAAATATACGCATTTAAGGTAAATATACACATTCTAGGTAAACATACGCATTATAGGTAAACAAACACATTCTAGGTAACATGCGTATTCTAGGTAAACATACGCATTCCAGGTGACATCCGTATTCTAAGTAAACATACGCATTTTAGGTAAACATACACATTCCAGGTAACATACGTATTCTAAGTAAACATACGCATTTTAGGTAAACATACACATTCCAGGTAACATACGAATTCTAAGTAACTACACATTTTAGGTAAACATACGCAATACGCATTCTAGTTAAGTTCTATGTAAATAAACATCGCATTCTATGCATCTATACGCATTCTGGGTAAATATACGCATTCTAGATTTTTTATCACATTCAAATTCAGATTTACTTTTAAGCAAACAGATGCATGAAAGGTGAACAATGCATTTTGAGTAAGCATACAAATAACACATTCTAGGAAAGCATTCACTTTCTAGGTACACATAAACAACCTAATCATACGCAATTCTTGGTAAACATACGCAACCTAATCATACACAATTCTTGGTAAACATACGCATAGGAACAGAGAAAAGAGCTAAACAATAAACTTACAATATATAACAAAATCTTTAAGAAAAAGATAAAAAAAAAAAACGCGAAAAGTAAGATAAAATTAACAAGAAAGTTAAAGGTGGAAAAGGTAACATAAAAAGGACAGAGTTGAACATAAAAGATACAATTAAAGAATAAGGAACAATGACATTCTAGTTGTCTCGCTTACCTCGTGTTATCAAAGGGGATATTTTTTATGTTTTTTTTCTCCTTCTTCTATACTTCAAGATAAATTTACTCAAAAATTGCTCAATTGAGGAGGTGATATATTCAAAGAAATTAAGAAATTCCGTGGACAAAGCACAACAATTTCAAGTTGTATATATGGAGAAGTCGGGGCCCAGAATATTGAAAATCACTTTCAAGAAATCTATGAAAATCTGTACTCCCAGCATACTCTAGGAGAAGATTTTGATAAAGTGCAGCAAAATATACAAGAAAGAGTTCATCATGGATTACAGGATGATATAAATAAAGTTAACAGCCAGTCAGTCAAAGATGCACTAAATAAAATGAAAGCAATGAAAAGTGATGCATTATTTGACTTCAGCTCTGACTGCTTAATTAATGCATCAAACAAGTTAATAGATCATGTGACCAACCTATTTAAATGGTTTTTGGCTACAGGCAAAATTCCTGCTTTTTTACTACTGTGCACATTAGTGCCCATAGTGAAGGACAACTTAGATGACATTGCTATCAGTGACAATTACAGGGCAATTGCCATTGGCAGCTTGATTCTAAAATGGTTTGACTGGTTGATATTAATTCTAAACTCTGATAAGCTGACCACAGATGAACTTCAGTTTGGGTTTCAGAAGCTAGCCAGTACTACAATGTGCAGCTGGGGGGTCAACTCTGTAGTGGATTATTATAACAGAGCTGGTAGAGCAGTTTATGCTTGTGCAATGGATCTGAGTAAGGCATTTGATCTTGTGTCATGGGAAGTGCTCTTCACAGAGTTATTGGAGAGGGGTGTTTCACCTCTAGCATTAAGGTGTTTAATGTTCATTTACTCAANTCATTTTCTAACCCCTATATCATGCAACTTGATTGTGTGAAGCTAAGATTTTTAATAGTTTGTTCTAGCAAAATTCCTAGTTTGAAATCTCTAAGGTTTATGAAATGCAGCAGCTGGAAAAGATATAAGGATTAAAAAGTTTTTGTCCATTGTTTAGTTCCTTTATATCTCTCTATATATAGAGATATAGGAATTAGAAAATCAGAGTTTGTGACAAAGACTCAATTCCTTTGAAATACTGAATCAAATTCTTTCTTAATCTTCAATTTTGAATCGGTGGTTCAAATTTGAACCGGCAGTAGGTAGTTCAATGACGTAGCTCAAATTCATAAAAATCGGTTCAAGGTTTATTATGTCTATTTATTATCAATTTATACATGTAAAGAGATATAAAATGGTTTAAACTTTGCTGAAGACCTTCTAAAAGCAGTTTATTTAGCAGGTTTTTAAACAGATATATCTTGGTCTTTAAATATATTATATATATTATTTTCTGTTGTTTTACAATTCTTCATTTTACATTAGATTCTACCAGTAATAACATATAATCTTCCTAATCCAACCCTTCCAGCCTACTGTACAGCAAATCCTTTATCTACAAATATTCTTATTATTTTGATCAAAAAGAAAATGAATACAGACTATTTTCTTGATTATTTTTTGTGAGTAGTTATTATTATCATGTCTAGGCTTATATTTATCTATCAGCCATGGTACAAGAGTAATAGTATCCTACCTAGCTTGGGATACTATTCTATATAAGATGTGGAAGAGTTTAACATAAGTTGATTGGATTGTACCTCTATAGCTCAGGATACAATTCTATATATATAGCTGAAGAGTATACCAGGAGACTGTACTCTATCTTCCTCGGGATAAATATAATATGTAATAAATATGTAGTGTCTTCTACTGATACTGCAATCATGCTATAATTTNTGTACCGGATCAGAGATTATATTCTTTATACTTTGCTTGAGATCTGAGATAATATGTTATAAAATGTACCGGATCAGAGATTATATTCTTTATACTTTGCTTGAGATCTGAGATAATATGTTATAAAATGTACCGGATCTGAGATTAAAACTTTAGGTTGAAATTCTGGTCTGCGGTTCTCCTACTATGGATCTAACTGAACTGAAGAAGGTTGTTGTGTACGATGGATACAAACCAACTGATCAAACTATTATTTTCTTCTGGGAGGTAAATATACAAACATCTTTTAAAAATTTATTATTCTAACAATTTACATATACTCCATTCCTCGAGTTATATTCTTCTCCTGATCCTAGTCCATCTATAGTAGTTGTATTCTTCTCCTGATCCTAGTCCATCTATAGTAGTTCTATTCTTCTCCTGATCCTAGTCCATCTATAGTAGTTCTATTCTTCTCCTGATCCTAGTCCATCTATAGTAGTTATATTCTTCTCTTGATCCTAGTCCATCTCTAGTAGTTCTATTCTTCTCCTGATCCTAGTCCATCTCTAGTAGTTATATTCTTCTCCTGATCCTAGTCCATCTGTAGTAGTTCTATTTTTCTCCTAATCCTAGTCCATCTGTAGTAGTTCTATTCTTCTCCTGATCCTAGTTCATCTCTAGTAGTTCTATTCTTCTCCTGATCCTAGTCCATCTATAGTAGTTCTATTCTTCTCCTGATCCTAGTCCATCTCTAGTAGTTCTATTCTTCTCCTGATCCTAGTCCATCTCTAGTAGTTCTATTCTTCTCCTGATCCTAGTCCATCTCCAGTAGTTCTATTATTCTCCTGATCCTGGTCCATCTATATTAGTTCTATTCTTCTACTGATCCTGGTCCATCTCTAGTAGTTCTATTCTTCTCCTGATCCTAGTCCATCTCCAGTAGTTCTATTCTTCTCCTGATCCTAGTCCATCTCCAGTAGTTCTATTCTTCTCATGATCCTAGTCCATCTATAGTAGTTCTATTCTTCTACTGATCCTGGTCCATCTCTAGTAGTTCTATTATTCTCCTGATCCTAGTACATCTATAGTAGTTCTATTCTTCTACTGATCCTGTTCCATCTCTAGTAGTTCTATTCTTCTCCTGATCCTAGTCCATCGATAGTAGTTCTATTCTTCTCCTGATCCTAGTCCATCTCTAGTAGTTCTATTATTCTCCTGATCCTAGTCCATCTCTAGTAGTTCTATTCTTCTCCTAATCCTAGTCCATCTCTAGTAGTTCTATTCTTCTCCTGATCCTAGTCCATCTATAGTAGTTCTATTCTTCGATCCTAATCCATCTCTAATAGTTCTATTATTCTCCTGATCCTAGTCCATCTCTAGTAGTTCTATTATTCTCCTGATCCTAGTCCATCTCTAGTAGTTCTATTCTTCTCCTGATCCAAGTCCATCCTCTCCATTGTTCTTTTCTACTTAACAAAAATGAGAATAAGGATAAAGATGATAGAAGGTAAGAATAAGGTGAAGATATAGATGAAGTTAAGTTTAAGGATACGAATAAAGAATTTTCAAGATGTTGAAGAGTAAAAACGGATGAAAAATTGTCTTCAATCGGATTTTTCGATTTAAAACTAAATAAATCACTTCAATAGAGTTTCCAGGCAAATTGGATCTGTCTGAAATCCCAACTCTAGTATTAAAGTTCATCAATCTGTCTTCTTATCTACTTATTCATTTAAACATATATATGCATACAATTAAATATTTTTCGAAATGTGTTAAACAGAAAAATATTCGATTTAATGCAGCAAGATTCTAGAAACATATTAAACTTCATCTGCACATTTTTACAGCAGAGATACAGAAGAATATTGACAGAATTGATTTATTTTAAAGATTTATTTAGGACGATATTTTTCTCATTCTATAAATAAAGAAACTGAGTTTTCCCCACAAACTCTGATATTTTAATCCTTATACATATTTCTGCAACCTGATGTCATAGACTTTTGATAATTTAAACTTTGAATTCTGTCAGATTAAGTATTCCAAGTTTGAAATGTCCATGGGGTAATAGCACAATTCCTTTAAAGCGAAACATAATTTAAAATACTCAACAAACTGTAAACATATTTTACGATAAGATTAGGTTTATATTTCTGTTATGTTTGTTAACTGTCTAATTTACGCCAACCATATCTTCAAGATTGACTGTTTATTCCAAAGTTTATGGACAGAGTAAGTAAGTTAGTGGAGTCTGGAACATTTATATTTAGCTCAAGTACAAACAAATAATTGTTCTGTTCTGTTTCAAAGAATAGGAAAACAGGCAAGACCTAGATTGCAACTTTTGAATAAGAGTTTGGCTGCTTGGCTGCTTGGCATAGCTTAACTTCTTTATTAATGGTCCTGCACAAGTGTAATTTTGAATATTTGGGTGATATTTTGTCAGTCAGAATTTTTATTTCTTAGAAATTAGCCAGTAAATCCTTTATATTTCACTGAACAAATAGTAAAAATACAAGAAAACATTTGCAAAAAAACGTCGTTCAAAACATTGCGATCTGCAATCCTAGCCTTTCTTTTCGAATTTAAGTACTCTTAGATGAGGATTGAGTTTGGATTTAGTTAAGTAAATAAGATTAGAACTACTCCAGGTTCTCTTAAACTACAGTGAGAGCCTGCAGAAGAAGTTTCTCCTGTTTACAACAGGATCAGATCGAGTTCCAGTCGGAGGGATGGGAGAAATGTCATTCAAAATATCTAAACTAAAGGTATACAGCATTTTTTAGATTAGATCATTCAAACCTACTCCGGTCAATATAGAACCTTTTGTACAATATAATCGTTCCTCCCAACATTAAGTCCCCAATCTTTTAAAATGCAAAAAATGTTTTTAAAAAAACATTTTTGACTCTAATCGACGTTTTCGGGAAATCATACACATGCAAAATCTATTTCCTACTTCAGGATAAATTATCCTACCTACCTGAGGCTCATACCTGCTTCAACCAGCTAGTTCTCCCTGATTATCAAGATAAGGTAATATATTGCTTCTTACCAAATGAATTGAGTCTTTGCAACAAACTCTGATTTTCTAATCCCTATATCTTATCAACCCAATGTCGGAGACCACATATATATTTCAAACTGCAGATCTGTCAGATAAAATAATCTAAGCTTGAAATATCAAAAGTTTACACCATCAGATTGCAAATCGAAATAGGAATTAGAAAATTTGAGTTTGTAATAATGTATCAATATACTTCACTATGGCGGGATTTTTTATCATCTGATAGTGCCTTGGGATAAAGAATGAGAATTTTTCAAAAAAAAATCAATCTTTTCTAACCCCTATATTTGATTTAACAAATTCAATATTTTAAAAATACAAAAACTCTACGTCAGGTTGCAAAGAAAAAGGGATCAATAAATTAGAGTTTGTGGCGAGTATTCAGCTTCTTTTATTTTTCCAGGAACAAAAGCTAATCCTCTATATTTATCATTTCAAATTTGAAAAAAGAAAAAAATGTTTAAAAGGGGTATTTTTTTAAACCTTTCATTGCTAAAAGTACAAAAGTTTTGTAAGTACAACGGTATCATTGAAACCTTTAGAAACTTTTAAAATTACCTAAGATAAAATTTAGATATTTTTATTTAATTTGATTATCGCTTTTTTTGGTCCGATTTCAAGGTTGAGAGATGACAAGGATATTTTGGATCATCTCAAGATAGATTATACATTATGTTTTTTTTTTATTACAGGACTGTTTACAGGAGAAATTAACCATCGCTATCTCTAATGCAGAGGGATTTGGACTGGAGTAATACTAAGCCAAACCAAACCAAACCAAAGAAACCCAACATAACAAAAGTATCAAAAATCAAACAACTCGTCAAACTGAAGCAATACGTATCATGACTGTATACTACAATTGTGTATTTAAAAAACCTGTTTTCTCGTGGTTAAAAATTAACCATTGTAAATTTTCCAATAAAACAACGAATGCATAAATTTGACTGTATAGACTGTTAAATATGAGGAAACTGTGCATATTGAAGATACTCAAGAAACTATCTATTGTTGAAAATACTTGAATCTTGTCCTCACTAGGAGAATAAAGATTGAGAGAAAAAGTTTCAAGAACTGATTTCGCTCCAGGATATTCTAAAACTTGGTTTCAGTTCTCTTTTCTTCGTGAGAATGTTGTGTAATATGTTTCCTGTCTACATTCTGCCCCGGAGCAGGACGGGTTCGCAGGACAGTTCTCCGGAGATGGAACATTACCCAGGGCAAATATAAAACTAATTCTACAATAAGAACTTTAAAAGGTTTTGCAATAAAGGGGTAAATTCTTAAGAAATATTTTGATAAATAAGAAAAGAAAAAATCTAAATTCCTTCAGAGAACTAAAAATCTAAGAAGTAAATTATTAATGTATATTCATGATATTGTTCCAATTCAACCCTAAGTTTACATTCTACATCCGGCCATTCTGCTTTATGCATCACAAGGACGATTTATTAAAGTTTCTCAACCTTCCAAACTTTGGTTCCTACCTGAAACATATCTTCAGGTTCTAATACAATAGAATTCTAGCTTAGAGAATATAAATTGAAGATTGTAAATTAAAATGTCTGAAACAGGCAACAAATAGAAATCACTTTAAAATTCGGTGATGGTGATTATTATGGACCAAACCTCTGTAGAGTAAAAAAAGAAGATGTAAGTTCTACATTTATTGAAAATATATTTCGGTCTGGGTTGACCCTTGTCAGTTCTTGAGTTTGTTTCTGTCAGGAAGATTAAAACAAACTATCAACTAAAACTCCATTGTGGAGACTACTGTAGTCTGACATTGGCAACCTGATTTTAGCAATATTTTTATATGAAACAAGAATCACAGGATAGCGCTAGTCCTGCCATTTTCTAAATGGGGTTTGCTATTTTTGTGCTTTCATTATTACTGGAGGTATGAATGATTTCGTTCAGAATGAGACATTTTCATGGTTTTATTTAATAAATTGAAATTTAAACATATTTTCGAGAGCAAAAATATGGCCTGCCATATTTTGGAAATGGCAGGAGAGCGTAAATGGTAGGCTATTCTGTAATTATTGTATTTGTTAAAAAAAAATTGCTAAAATCAGATTACCTATGTTGAATGCCTCAAATTATTTCTAAGGTCAAAGGCGACTTTGAAGTCATCAATTAATTTACATAATTTCCTGTTAATTAGAGTTTTACAGTATGTAAAGGAATTGAGTCTTTGCCACAAATTCAGTTTTTTTTAAAACCTATATCTTTGCAGCCTTATGATGTAAACCTTTGATATTTCAAACATACATTATTTAATCTAATATCTTTCAAAGTTTGAAATATTAAAGGTCTACGACATTGGGTTGCAACGATATTGAAATTAGAAACTCAGAGTTTGTGGCAAAAACTCAATTCCAAGTAAACCTGTATATAAGAGTATATAAACCTTGTAAACCTGTATATAGGAATATATAAACCTTGTAAACCTGTAAATAGGAATAAATAAACCTTGTAAACCTGTATATGTGAATATTTAAACCTTGTAAACCTGTATATAGGAATAAATAAACCTTGTAAACCTGTATATCGGAATATATAGACCTAGTAAACCTGTAAAAAGGAATTTATAAACTTTGTAAGCCTGTATAGAAGAATATATAAACCTTATAAACCTGTCTATTGGAATATATAAACCTTGTAAACCTGTATATAGGAATATATAGACCTGGTAAACCTGTAAAAAGGAATTTATAAACTTTGTAAGCCTGTATAGAAGAATATATAAACCTTGTAAACCTGTCTATTGGAATATATAAACCTTGTAAACCTGTATATAGGAATATAAAAATCTTGTAAACCTATATGGGAATATATAAACCTTTAAACTTATATAGAGGACTATATAAACCTTGTAAACCTATTTAGAGGACTATACAAACCTTGTAGACCTGTATAAAGAAACATATAAAACTTGTAAACCTGAACATAGGAATATGTAAACCTATGTAGCGGAATATATTAATCCTGTAAAACTGTGTATTTTCCCCAAACATTTAAAAAGATTTCTCATTTTGATGAATTTCCAAGTTTTAATATTTTAGCATGAAATGTAAACTCTGATCACATTTATGATTATTTTATTATTTTTAAACTGCAGGGTTGGGTTCTTCAGATAAACTATTTTATCCTCTGAGTCCGCAGGTAAGGTCGGAGATAAAGAAGATTAAAGGGAGTGACCTGCTATATAAGGTTGTCGAACTGAGTATGCAGTGTTGTGGAAAACTTCTTTCGGACTCATTTTAGACATATTTAACTTGTAAAGATCTGTAAATCCTGAGTTTGAGCGCAAATTCGACGTTCAAAACTCCTACTCTGGGAGTGGATACGTTTTCAGAATTAGTTTTTTTATAATGAATCCGAAAGAAGTTTTCCACAACACTGCATACTCAGTTCAACTACCTTACATAGCCGGTCACTCTCTTTAAATTGATATTATTTTTATAGTTTAGTGTTAATCCAAGGAGAAGGAAAATCTTAAATACAATAAAGTATTTAACACTAAACCATTAATCTATTGAATTGGAATTCAAGAGAAAGGTTTAGAAACTCTACTCCATTAATCTACTGTTTGTATCAGAGCAACAATCATAGATACCCACAAAGTATGAGACTGTAAAGACGACCTGAAAATCTGCAAATAAGATTATTTCATGGTTAACTGAGGTTTTTTTTGCATTAAATAAAGTCGTTTAATGACTTATTAATTGATTAAAAAGAATGAAACAAGGTAACAACTGCAGGGAACCATGAATAAAAGGATACGTACAATTATTGTTTTGATAAAGCTTGATCCTGGCAGTACAATTACATCATATTCACATGTGTACACAAACCCCTATCCATCCTACCTTTAGAATACATAATTTGGTCTTATTTTTAAGCAATCTTTGTAGGAACAGTGTAGAATGTAGATACATTTAGACCAAGGTTATAATACAAGGAAAGTTATTTCAGAGGTGTAAGTATCTTTTGTACTGCAGTGTACTGTCTCTGGGCGGTAATGTAAACACAAGACGGATGTCACTGCCATAGGATCCATCTTTCACATAAAAAAACAATCAATGAAATATTCTGAATCCGGTCATAGGAAACTTTTATGTGAATTATCAAAATTTTCAAATATCAATGCTTTTACCCTCCTAGGATACTAAACGAACACTGATTTTACAAATTCCGCCCAGAGAGAACTGGTTTCTATATGTACGCAGAGTATACGCAACTGCAATTAACTTTCCTTGCATTAAACCTTGCCTTTAGACGAACATACTAGAGTAAAACTAAACTATAATAAACTGCAGTATCATGTTGTATTCATTTCTAATTCATGATGGAGCTTACAGGGAGTGTTAGAGTAATTACAAGTGACCATTTATGCAATGTCGTTTTTCTTACTCGAATAGTGTTAAGTCTGGAAATTTCTATATTGTTTCTTATAAGATAGAAATACTCCAGTCCTTTTTACAGAGAAGCCACAAATGAAAATAAACAGTTTAAATAAACAAAAAAATGGATATCTAATTCATACTTGATCAGAAAAAACTTTTAAGTGTACCGTTGTTGATCGGGCATTACCCTCTTTACATGAAGAATCAATTAAAAGTACAGTAACAGTCCCTTTAACTCGGTGTAAAAACTCAGTTATTCTTCATCATCTCTGGAATAAATCATCTTATACCTTTCAAAATCAGGATTAAAGTTTTTGGATAAAAACAGGATTGGTTTGGTACAGGGTGTCCCAATAAACATGGGAATTAAGAGACCACTTGAAAGTCGTCTTTGATTTCTGGTATTTGATGCATGGCAAAGAAAGAAAAAAACGAGGCTGTAATTCTGACGAGCTTTTCATGAAGTATTTGTATCAATTTTGCAATATCTCCGTTCTTCTCTATCCACCCACTCTTTCTATCTATAAAATACATTATGTATTGAATTATCATTTTTGTAGTAATGTTGTATTGTTTCTGTATTTTTTAAAACAAATCCTAAAGTGTGATTGATAATTTTCAAGAAACCCATAAGCAAATAACATTTAAAGATACGCCCCCCCCCCCTTGCCCTGTATCCTATATCCCTAATTCTCAACATTGTCATCATTATTCATTATCTTAATCATCGAACCCTATCTTTTGCGCATTAATCTAATTACATGGTTAATAAGCAAAGATACATAGAAACCATTCCGCAATCTTGGCACTGAGATCAGTAGTGTATATANGAAGAAAACTTTCGTAAATAAAATAATAATGAAAACAGAAGGAGCGGGGGGTATATCAATGAAAAGAATATAAATAGAAAGAAAGAATATTTGAAATAATAGAAATGAAATACACTACGCAGTACGTAGTCAGGAAAAGGTCAGTTAAAAAAAAAACACTGTTTTCAATATAACATAAGAAATTTATCGCAATACTTATTTTATCGTTTAAATCTGTTTCAGTATTTCCATGATAAGCCTTCCATGCGATATTATCTCATAAACATTCATTTTATTTCTGTAGGAAACAGCGCCGGTCGGAGTAGCGAAGAATTTAACGCTAGAAGATCTAGCAGAGATTATGCCAGACGTTGCAACTAGTCTCCAGGTATACATAAATACAGGTTTTAACATTCACTGTGCACACTCTTACACAAAAATCGAGCAGTATTTTGCCAATTACTTCTTTCAAATTTAAGCTGAAAACAAGTGAGTATTTTGATATGTATATCTCTAGGGCTACAATAAAGTATTAAAAAGTATGTGAGGTAAACCCAAAAGCCAAGGCGTTGCGACACTTTGAAGTCTTTAAAGTCTAAAAATTTGATTACTAAGTTTCAGAGTTGTCTATATCTCAATGTTTTTAACTACTCTTCAGGTTTACATTTACATTCATATACAGGTTTTAATATATTAACTAGTCTCCAGGTTTACATTTACATTTACATACAGGTTTTAATATATTAACAGGTCTCTAGGTTTACATTTACATTTACATACAGGTTTTAATATATTAACTGGTCTCTAGGTTTACATTTACATTTACATACAGGTTTTAATATCTTATCTAGTCTCCAGGTTTACATTTACATTTACATACAGGTTAAAATATATTAACTAGTCTCCAGGTATACATTTACATTTACATTTACTTACAGGTTTTAATATCTTATCTAGTCTCCAGATATACTTTTACATACAGGTTTTACAATCTGAACTAGTCTCCAGTTATACATTTACTTACAGATATTATATCTTAACTACTCCAGGTTAGGTATCCATTAAGGGGCTTGTTGGTGGGGGCCTGTGCAACCAACGTCCCCTCCAGTAGACCATTGCTCAGTAATTTTGCATGAATAAATTAATAAAGTTTAGTTATCTTAATCTGTAGAATATACTGGAGTACGAGGGGGACGTGGAGAACGACATGTTCATGTCCTTTCAGGTCTCGGTAGGGGAGTACGGGAAAATCAAAACAGTTGATCTTAAGGTTATTATTTAGAATACAGCCGGGACCATATATCAGGTTTAGTGGGACACCCTGTAGAATACAGCCGAGACCATATTTCAGTTGTAGTGGGACACCCTGTAAAATACAGCCGGGACCATTTATCAGCTTAGTGGGACACCCTGTAAAATACAGCCGGGACCATTTATCAGGCTTAGTGGGACACTCTGTAGAAAACAGCCGTGACCATATATCAGGCTTAGTGGGACACCCTGTAAAATACAGCCGGGACTATAGATAAGGTTCAGATGGGACACCCTGTAGAATACAGCCGGGACCAGAAATCAGGTTTAAATGGGACACCCTGTAGAATCCGGCCGGTACCAGATATTAGGTTTCAGAATTCGTAAACCCTGAAATAATATCTAGATATACTCGACCAAACTAGTTTTAATGTCATCTTCACTTTACACTATAATGACACCAGATCAACAAGATATATTTCTGGTTTTTACTTTGAGGTCAAATATTTTTGTTTGTTTTAAACATCGACTTTTAAATATTTTATTTCTGTTCAAATCATTAATAGATTGTTAAAGATTCTTTTCTCTTTTTAATATAAATAAATTGTTGAGCTGAAGAATCAATAATAATAATAATTAATTACCTGAATGGGACTGAAGAGTTAAGAGCGGCTTGCCCGATTCAGAACCCACAATTAAAAATAATCATTTTTTGCCAGAAAAATAAGTACATCTCATTCATCTTTGAAAAGACAAAGGTTTAAAGATACCATTGTGTATAGGATATACAACTCTATAAATGTATATTGTGAATAGGATATACAACTCTATAAATGTATATTGTGAATAGAATATACAACTCTATAAATGTACATTACATCTACAGTCTATTATTTCTACAGCCTAAGGTATATGAGTATATCATATTTTCAAGAAAAATTAATAAGAAATAGATAAATATTAAAAAATGTACGAAATTTTGTTTTTGGAATTTAAAATGACGGATATTTATGTCTAAACACAAAATTTCACATTGTTATGTACTTGGTAATATTTTACGACTGATGACTCCGCTTGTGAGTATTTTATTTCATCCCGTGTATCAGCTGTATACTAGGAGAAGGTCAGTAAACTCAGGTGAGAGTTATATATTCTCAAACTGCAATCATCATTCTCTAGGTTGCAGTTCAAACTCAGCCCAGAGAAACCAAACCTTCTCAGTTTTCAACCAACGTCATATACACACATCAGATATTTGAAAAACATTCCATAAACTTAAATTGGATATTTTCCAGGAAACTGCTAAATATTTTTTCCGAGAATTATTGAAAAATATTTTTATATAATACGAAAATTATTTTAATTTCTTTGCACATACAAAATGAGGCAATGCCACTCAAACCTTTTGAAAAAAAAGACAAAGCAATTAATACTGGAGATTGAAACTTTAGACTGAAGATTAGAAACCCAGTTGTTAAAATAGGGGTAAACCAGGGTTGCAGAAGAAAACCTGATCGGTTTTTCTCTTTTAGATTCTTTATGAAAACTGCTAAAAACTCGGTTTCATTTTTCGGATCTCTCTTAAGTTCCGGCTCAGGGGCCAGCAGGCATAGAATGTAGAGAGCAACACTGCTTCGCCAACTTAGGAGAGAAATCTTTAAACCTGTTTTATTCGCAATATTTTGCAAAGAAAGCCTTCATTCGCGACCTGCTCTCTCTACTCACAGTGCATACAGTTTAAACTTTATTGGAGTGAATTCTTGTCACTCAAGATTTAATTCTTCTCTTTTGTAAAGAAATAAAAATTTACCTGCTGACTTCAGAATTACCTTAAATCCTGGATCAACCATTTTTAGTTTTAGTAAAATTGATCCAATTACTTAAATTACTGTATAATGGACTTGCTATTTTAAATTTTCTGTATTAATACAATGTGACGTTAAAAAGTTTTAACTTTATTATTTTATTATCATTTTCTTAATCTTCTTTTTCTAGGGGTTCGCTTTATAGGGTTTATATATTCTTTTTGTAAAATGTATTCTTGCTTTCATAGAAGTTGATGTATATCTTATTTATTTTTAATTCTTCTCTTTATTGAGTTAATTTATCTATTAATTCTTCTCTTTATTGAGTTTATTTATCTTTTAATTCTTCTCTTTATTGAGTTTATTTATCTATTAATTCTTCTCTTTATTGAGTTTATTTATCTTTTAATTCTT